GGACAGTCACCTACAAAGGACTTCCCATCAGACTGTCAGCGGATTTCTCAAAAGAGACCTTACAGGCAAGAAGGGGCTGGAAAGAAGTATTCCAAGTCATGAAATCCAAAGACCTACAACCAAGATTGCTCTATCCAGCAAAGCTTTCATTTAGAATGGAAGGACAGATAAGGTGCTTCTCAGATAAGATCAAATTCAAGGAGTTCATCATCACCAAGCCCTTATTATATGAAATGTTAAAGGGACTTACCTAAGAAAAAGAAGATAAAAAAGATGAACAGTGAAAGGACAGCAAACTCCCAGTTATTAACAACCACACCTAAAACAAAAGCAAATTAAGAGGACAGCTAGATCAGGAGTGAACCATAGAAATGAAGATGACATGGAGGGTTAGCAACAGGGGAGTGGGAGAAGAAGGGGGGAGAAGGTACAAAAAAATAAGTAGCATAGACAGTAGATAGAAAATAGATAGGGGGAGGGTAAGAATAGTAGGGGAAATATAGAATTTAAAGAACTTGAGACACGTGTTCATGAACTAAAGGGGGAGAATGGTGTGGGAGGGGTGTGCAGGGTGGAGGGGAATGAAGGGGGGAAATAGAACAAATGTAATGGCATAATCAATAAAATAAAAAAATATATTTAAAAAAGCAAACCAAAACTACAGCAGTTTATCACTTCCCATCCACTAGGATGGTTTCAATAGGAACAAGAAAATGAAAAATGTTTTGGCAAAGATATAGAGAAATCAGGTCCTTTGTGCATCGCTGCTAGGACTGTGCAACGATGCAGCTTCTGTGGGAAACATTTTGGCCATCTCTCGAAAAGCTAAACGTGAAGTCACTATGTGACCCAGCATTTCCAATCCTAGAGAGCTGTGGCTGTTCAACCACACGGGACTACACTAAATGCCACTGAGTTGTATAGTTTACGATGATTAATTGCCAGTTATATGGATTTTGCTTCAATTTTTTAAAAAAGTTTAGGAGAATCCAGCCAGGAAAAAAATTATCAATGGTTTACCTGTCTCTCCATAATATGAATGAATGAATTGAATTAAGAATGCTAAATCACAACATACTCTACAATTTCAAATTCAACGTAAGGCTAGTCTACCATGTATTGTGGAATTAACAAGAGTAGATAGACCTCTTATCATACCTACTGTGTCTTCCAGAACTAATAAGGCTAGAAAGGAGGTTGAGGTTAGGATACAAATATTCCTTATGATATACCCTCCCCTAAAACAGATGCAAAAGCATAAGCACTGAGGTTATTATGGTTATATGAGAAGCCATCTCCTGTCATTTTTACATGTGTAATGTGGATAATAAATATATGTGTGCATATTAAGTTGGGGGTAACAGAGCTGAACAAAATATAAAATAAAGAGAATTAGTAAACTCACCGGGATCCTCATGATCCCTTTGTCATGATCTCAAACTACCAACGCAATAATGAAGCACACTGTAAGCCAGGGCTCGCCGTGGGCGTTCTCGGGAGTTTTTCTAAGCAACAACCCAGGAAGCATCTCTAAGGGCTCTGAGGACCGACTGTGACATCTGAAGTGCGCGCAGTCAGTGGCCTTGTGGAGGGAAACTGGCACCCGGAAGGAGGTGCTGAGCGTTCCTCTGCTGCAGAAAACGTTCTCTTTCTTTAGGAACAATTTCACGTGAAACTATTTGGATATTTTTGACAAATTAGTGCAAATTGGATTAATTCAGCCCATTAGCTACAAAGGCGGATGTGATGGAATACTTTATTTTTATTAGATGTAGCTAATAATAACCGCTAGCACTTGCTGAGTGTCGATTCTATGCTCAGCACTATTGTAAGTGTTTTCCGGATACTCATCTCATTCCTCACAACAATCCTTGAAGGAAACAACCACGTGGACAAAACAGTTTGCCCAACACCCACGGCCAGCAAGAGCCAGAGCTGGCACTCACACCCAGGGAGTGTCCAAAGTCCAAAAGCCCACATTCCAAGCAGCCTGGTGTGTCTCTAACACATAGGTAGTAAAATATACATAGGTGTTAAAGTCTATCTGATTAATATTGTATTTTTACCTCTGTGTGTTCATTTCAAAGATAAGACTAAACAGTAAAATATGTAAGAAAAAATACTATAAAATGTTAGGTCTGTATCCTTTAGGCTGCTAAACAAGGTGAGCTATTAATATGGTTTTTTAAAGGAAAACAATTTTTCTTCATTATACCCTGTTTTACATGGATTTATCTTTTGGTTTTTACAAGTACATTTAAATTGTGTGTCACTGAAATAACGTATTAAATGTCAGTAAATGCACTTTAATATGCTACCAGCTCACGTCAAGGAATCTTTGCACAGAAATTAGCTTTCGCAGTAGGGTGATCAGTAGAAACATAATTCTTGACTTGACTGGTGAGCCTGCCTTCTCAAGGCATCTGCCTGAATTCCTCAGCGTCTGCAATAGCGAGCCACGGCGTGCACGGCACACTCACTTAAATGTGACGGACTGCAGGTCCTGTTTAGTAATGTACATTGTTAGCAGTTGGTGAAGGCAAACATGCCTGTAGTAAACAGAATGTCTCCTGATTCAACACAAGGCCAAAAAGGGATAAGCAGCATCAGGGAGTCGCTCCTGTTTCACCCACTTGTCTTTAGGCGATCTACTTACTGCACACAGAGACAGCAGATTTCCCTCCAATATCCATCAGGTGGTATGTGGTTTCAGTGTGGTTCAAAGGTAAACACTGTATATCTTTAAGTGCGCTTCAAGATGTCCAGTTCTGCAATGCAGGAAAATTTAAGTCAAATTTTAATATATTTTATTTTATATAGTGCATGTAACTTTTAGTCAGCATACCAGTTGTCTAGTTCATTCCACGAATATTTATTAAACACCAGCTACGATGTGCTAGGCATTTTCCTAGACACTGAAGATATGACAGTGAATAAAACAGAATTCTTTCTATCACAGTGCTTACATTCTTGGAGGGGAAGACTGACTGTGATCAAACACTCACACGCGCAGTGCACACATATAAGTACTGTATGTGTGTACAAACATAGGCACCCAAATCCCCACACACAGTGGAGAGGAGTGCCATGAAGTTCTGGGAAGAAAAGCAGTGCAGGGTAAGGGAGTCAGGAGTGTGCTGCCATTCAATAGAGTGTGCCAGGGAAGGCCGATCTTTCACGGTGACTTGTGAGCAGAGGCTAAAGGAGTTGAAGGAACAAGCATGAGGACATGTGAAGGAAGGGCATTCCTGACAGAGAGACCAGCAAGTGCAGCAACCTGGGGTGGGACCAGGTCTGGCGTGTTCAAGGGAGGGGCACGAAGGGCAGTGAGGCTTGAGCGATGTCCAGAAGTACAGCAGGGGGTTGACCATGGAGAGTTTTACAGGCCTTTTTAGGCTCCTCGCAGTTCACCCTGGGAGGTGGGACAGAGCGTGCATGCTCTCGGGTGACATCTCTCTGAGGTTCCCTGGGATTGGTCTGGCTGCACCGAGACTGACTCGGGCTGGGGAGTGGGGAGCGGGTGGCGGGAAGGGCAGAGGCAGGGAAGTGAATTAGAAGATTGCCGCACGAATCCAGGCCAAGAGGTGACGCTGCTTTAGACCTGCGTGATAGCCGAGGAGGTGGTTTGGAACAATCCAGTTTCTGGACCTATTTCAAATGCGGAACCAACAGCACTTGCTGAGGTGGGGGTGAGAAAAAGAAAGATGCGCCCCAAGGATCAAAAGGAGGCACCCTTTGCTTAGGTCAGGGAAGGAAATGAAGAGGTTGCTTCGGGGCACCTCGGGATCCAGACGCCCTAGAACGGTCGGTGTGGGGTGCAGAGTAGGCAGTTGAATGTGAGTCTGGAGTGCAGCGCAGAGGCCGGGGGAGGTACGAACTTGACAGTTGTCTGTGACAGAGCATGTGCAAAAGCCAGGGGCCACCGTGTAGGCAGAGCAGAGGAGAGGATGGTTCTTGAATGTCAAGGCTCACTTAGAGATCAGGAACACGAGCAGGGACCCATCCAAGAGGCTGAGAAGGAGCTGCCCCAGGAGCCAAAAGAGGAAGCTGTTTCCCAAGAACTCCGCGATCAAGGGGGTTGAGCGCCGCTGTGAGGTCAGGTCAGGTAAGGGCCGAGAGACAGTCACACGCAAGGCACTGAAATTAATACTTTCTCACCGTTTCCTGTTACAAAAAGTTTTAGCCAATGAAAAAACTCACGAGTACAAAAATCAGGAGCTGGGGAGTGAACGGGAAATGGAAATTATAAAGGAAAGAAAGCACCTTGGAAACTGTGAGCAAGACCCTCCCAGCGGGGCAGACTGGAAGCAGAGGAGAAATGAGTAGGAATGTCTGTTCCCACAGCCCCATGGTGAACCCAGACTCTCCCAATAGGAAAACCTTAAAATCAGGATTCTGATTGGAAGGGGGCAGGTGGGCAACCTGTCCGGCAGCTGCATTTTACATGAGATTAAGAAACTAGCATTGTCCTTATCAGAGAACTGGGGAGCGAGAAGATTGAAAAGTCCCCCTAGAGCTACCACTGTCACGGCGTGGGGCCGCCACATACGTGTGTGTGTTTGTGCCTGGACAGAGCTGCCCGGTAGGGGGCAGTGGGCCCTGGGACCCATCCTGTGCTGTGCAGCCAAGCCGCGCCCCAGACCTGACAGGCGAGCCTTTTCCTAATTTGCATACACGCCAGTGGGGGCCCTACACCAGTGCATTGGGAACTTTTTTTTCCCTCATCTCCAGTGGGCACAAATCATACTTAGAAATTAGGCTCTTGTGTTGAGGAGAAAAACTGCCCGCACTTACTATATCCGAAGATTCTCCCTGGTCTGTAAAGTGATGTTCAAGGTGAGCCCTCCTTATTTCTGCGTCCATTGCCTCACAAGGCATTTAGTACTGCTAATGCCTCCAGAGACGGTTGCCTCTGATTATTCACATGTGTCTACAGTTGAGGACAAAAGTAAAGCTATGAATTAAATCCGACTTCAGGAAATTTTCACTTGTCCTCCTAGGAACCAAGAAATGGATACCTGCTTGTGTGGAACTGCAGTGCCTGTGTGAAAAGCTCCATTGGTGGCTAAGGTCAGTCTGTCCCTAGCATTCTGGCTGTGTTGGCGCCCTCTGGTGGTTAAATTGTGTGCACGGTAATTTTGAATGCTCAGTTACAAAGTGTTTTAAAGCCTCGCCTTTGCCTGTTCAAAGTGAGTCACAGATTTCCCCTGCTTGGGTGCTAGTGAACCATGGAAAGAACTTGCCATGGGGGCAGCAGAGGTGGTTTTATGAACATACGTCAGACTGAATGCCTATCTATGGCAACGATTTTTTTAAAAATTTTGTTTTGAGGTATAACATCATATCGTAAAGTGTGCACGTTGGAAGATTATAGATGCGTGACGTATATCCAAACGCTCAAATCCAAACATTTCCAGCACCTTGGGTGAGGCTCTTTAAAAACTGGCTTGCTCATGAGCATTCGGATGACATGGAGCAGCAGAGAAAGCCACCTGCAGTTACAGAGTCGCCACAGTTGTCCACCCAAAGAGACTGTGAGCAGTGATTGGCTAAGTGGCAACTGACATGAAAATTTCATGTCGAGTGTGAGGTTGACTCTAAGGTGGCACACAGGCTTCGACAGTCCTGCCCTCCAAGGTGAAAATGGCTCACTTTCGTCCCTTTGCTTGGCTACAGTCTCCATGCTCTCTCTCTAACAGTTTTCCATCTCTGTTCCCTCTCTTTGGTTCAACACACTCGACGGAGTGCTGTGTGCCCAGGAATGCGGGTGGGGTGAGGAGGGGAAGAAGGGTGTTCCCTGCCCTCAAAGCACTCACGGACCAGCCGAGTTAAAAGCAAAAGGAGGAGCTGGGTGATTCCAAACCACTGGGTTAAGTATGATGATAACAAGAGCTGACGTTTATAGAGCACGTCGTCCTCGTATTTCTGCAGGATGTTCCCTGCATCTCCTCATTTGACCCTTGTCACTATCGCCTTACTTTACTGGTGAGAAAATGGAAGTGCAGCGAGACTAGTCACCTGCCCCAGGACAAAACAACTGGCGAACATGGCGGCCAGGACCTGATCCACCACCCACAGCAGCGGCGCCTGCCCCCTGCTGCTCTCGTGGTTCTCAAGTGTGGCGCTGGAGGCCCGGGCAGGGCAGGGGGGCAGCAGGGAGGTCTGTGGCTGCTTTGTCTGTTGAGCTGCCCAGCAAGGAGCCACACTCAGCACTGCAGGAAAAAAATGCCAGGAGGCGTCTTCTTTTTCCTGACACAGCTCTAGTCAAGCCCACAACTTCCCATCTTACAGACTCGGGCAAAAACTGGCTGCACCATTGAAATACAGCAAAAAATAGTGCAGAATTCACATTTGCCTATTCATCGTTATGGCACATATTTCTCCAAATCACAGGCAATCAACAGAATTGGGGGCCAAACGATGTTGTAAAGCTTTCTGTTGAAATTGGTGTTGTGGGTATATACCCCCCCCATCAGTGGTTTCTTCTTCTCTGTGTTGAAAGCCCAGTAAAAAGCATTTCTGTGACCTCAGGGAGTTCCAGATGGTTCAAAACAGATCAGTGCAGCGGGGCAAGATTTTGAAATCCCACCTGAGGGTGGTGTTTGCATCTGCCTTTCGTCGGATTCTCCAAAGCAGGCAAAGACTCAGGACAAACATGGCAAAGCCTTCTCCCAAAACCGTCAGTGCAGTCTCCCCCCCCCCCCAACGTGGGTGGGTCATGTCCGTTGGCACCATCATGATATCTTCACACTCAGGCTCCTCAGAGGACAAGGGCCACGTCTAACTTAAATCTTATTTATTGCAGGTGAGGTGCAGATGGGAATAGACAAATAGTAGCAGGGTCTGGTAGCAGCTAGGGTGGTGTTCGTGTGGGAAGTGGCTCCCGGCCCCTTCGAGCCATCATGTAGGGCAGCAAGGTGTGCTGGGAAAATGATGCTTGCGGTTGTTTGTAGAGAAAATAGGGCCGGCCCCCCAGCCAGGCCCGCCCACCTCCGAGGTCCCAACCGCACTGTGAGCCGTGACTTGGTTTCATCGATTTCACGTGACTAGATCCAGCTTTACTTCTAATTTGTAATTTTGTTATGGTTTCATAATTGTAAAGAATTATCAGCATGAACCTATACATTCGTATTTTTTTTGTTACCTATTCTTAAAACAAAACGATGAAAGACATCAGCGTCATGAGTTGACACCCTGGAAGTTTCCCTCCCTAAAAGGGTGTCCATCCATTGCTCCTCCGAGGACGCCCTGCAGTGCAACCCTCGGCCTACAGAGGGAGACAAAGGCAGTCTGGCTCCTCGGGGGACACGGGAAGGCTATGCACCCCGCTTCCTGAAGGGATGGCACTACATTTCTGGCTGTTTGTTTTCTCTACTCTTTGATACACTTTAAAAGTTGCTACTTAGCACGCAGTTTTATTCTGCATACCTGTGGGAAGTGGCATCCTGGTTGATTATTTTTTAATGTGCCTACAGTTCACTTTACTCTTTGTATAGTTTTATGGAATTTGATAAGCATACAGGGTCTTGCATCCCCCTCCCCAGCACTGTAGAGAACATTCCATCACCCTAAGAACTGCCCAGTGTGGCCCCTTTTGTAGCAAACTTGTCCCCTCCCCCTAACCCACAGCAACCACTGACCTACTTTCTATCCCACAGAGGTGCCTCTCCATCATTCCACAGAGGTGTGGTCATACAACACGTAGTCTGTGAACCTGACTTCTTTCACTTGCAGAAAGTATTTAAGATCCATTGATGTTACTGTGTGTGCATCAATAGCTCCTTTGTTTTCACTGCTGAGTAGTAGTCCATTATGGATATATCAAGTTCATTTCTTCATTACCCTGTTGAAGGGCATCTTGGCTGTTTCCAGTTTGGGATAACTATGAATAAAATTGCTGTGTATGTTCTTATACACATTTTTATGTGTAAGAATACACAAAATAGCTTCTCAACTCGTTTGGAGTTGAAATACCTGGGAGTGGGGTTTCTGGGTCATGTAGTCAGTGTATTTAACCTTGTAAGAAACCACCGCCACTGTCCTTCAACAAGAGGGGGGTGCACTGTTGTGCATGCTCAGGTGCGGTGAGAGGGAGCTCCTGGGGCTCCGCCTCCTTACCAGAACTGGATCCTATCAGGGTTGTTTGCTGTTGTTTTTTTTTTAGCAGTTCTAAGAAATGTGCAGTGCTAGCACCCTGTGGATTTAGTTTGCATTGTCCTGGTAGCAAATGATGTTGGGCATCTCCTATATGCTTATTTCTCATTGAAATCTTGGACTGTTTCTTTTCCTAACTGTTGAGTTTTAAGATGTTATCAGTTCTGCATGCAAGTTTTTGTCAGGTGTGACTTGTAAATATTTTTTCCCAGACTGTGGGGGAAAAGCATAAGGCCAGGAATACCTTGGAAATCGAAGCAAATTGCGAGAACCAGGGAGAGACTTCTAAAAATTTCAGTTAAAAGGTTTAAAAGGTGATTTGCTGGAGCCCAGAAGGTACTGTGGTCCCACTAGACAGTGTGGGTGTCACCAGCGACCCACTGAGAGGGTCTGGCTGCTACCCAGGCTGGGCGTGGGCTGCTCCCTGGACCTGCTGGTGGAAGACACCGTGGAGAAGGGAGGGTCCCATCCGGAGACCGGACGGAGTGTGCTCTTCAGGGTTTGCTCCTGTTGCGCACAGCACACTGGGTAGGAGCTCAAGCTCTGGAGTTGAAACTGAGTTTAAATCCCGCTCACTGCTTGCGTGACTTCCGGTGAGTCAGGGGCTATTGTGAGGATTAGATTAGAAAGTGTAGTGCAGAGTCTATGGAGCCACACAATCAATGCTGGGTGGTGTTGGCTACACTCCTCCCTTTTAAATATGTGAGCCGCAGTCTACCATGACCCAAGGGTCACTTTCCCCAAGAAAAGGAATGTCTGTGAACATCCAGGGGAAGAACAGAGATTTGCACTTTTATTTCCCTTACCGAGAAGAGAGAGTTTCAGTTCTTTCGGGAGGTTCTGTTAGGTTCAACAGGTAGGTTCCTCTTGTAGGAGTCCCAACAAAATATGGGGACACTGAATTGCCACCTAGCCCTCAGATTCTTGATAGAAAGTGTGGCCCGATGTTTGAGTCTTTGGGTTCAAGGGACTCAGACCCATGCAGTGGTTAGGGGCTTATTGTAAGAATAGACAGACAGGTAAGAATGGCAGGGAACCATCTCAGCAGCCACGGAGCCACGCCTCCTGGAGAAATGGAGGTGCATTGATGGTTATACAGGAGCTTGGGCCCCAGGGGTCCCTCTGGCCATGAGCACCTCATTGCCCTTTGAGACCCTTTTTCCCTGCTCTGCACACCAGGGTCTCCACCCAACACCTGGCCAGCTTCTCTGTCAGCTTCCACATCTGCTGCCCTTGCTTCCCTTTCTCTTTGTGATGCATACTCTAGAGAGAGAATCTCTGTGGGGCATTTCGTCCTCCAGTGTAAGGCGCTCCTGTTAGGGAGCTGAGTTCTCACTCAGAGAAAGCACTGGAACCCCAAAAGGAGAGAGAAGATGGGGCCCAATTGTGTCACCAAATGATGACTCACTGCCTTTATTCTTGCCTTTACTATGTGAGTAAGAGAGTCTCGAATTTAACGGGCACCTCCCAAGGATACTAACCTAGGTCCTTGGCTCCATCCGAGACTCCTGTCTCTTAGAGGTAGATAGAAGGTTTGTAATGAGAGAGATGAATTTTCTGTTCTTATTCCTTTCCACACAAGCTCATATGCCAAGCTTGAAATCCACATTTCCAATTTGGTACATTTTTGGCTTGCAGGATAAACTTCAGGTCAGTGACTGTTAGTTAATCTGTTCAAACAGAAATGCAACCGTTTATGACAAGTGCAGGCAGTGACATGAGGATCCGGCAGGAGAGGACTGACTCAGCGAAAGGAGCTCCAAGGAGCCCTTCACCTGGACACTCCACCTGGGGGAGGAACAGAACCTAGATGACCATCATTTATTATGTCACCTTTACTTAGCTAACATAGAAATGTCCCCTCAGTTTTACAGAAAATCCACGTGAAGGCTGATGTGACCTTCAAAGGAATATCT